TAAAAGGTTAATAAAAAAAAGAAACGGTAAAAGATACGAAAAAAAACTTTTATTTCTGAAAAGTACATGTAATAAGGTTTCATTTACTTAGGTTTGAAAAATTATGTCGGGCAAATGGTGGCCGTCATGGATGATACACTTCCGAGGTGCTTCCTTGAAGTGTTGCATCACTCTCTTCAGCATTTCTCGAGGAATAGCGGCGATTTCTTCTCTTATAGCCTCCTTCAGTTGTTCCAGAGTTTGAGGCCGATGTTTGTAGACCTGAACTTTGAGGTAGCCCCACAAAAAAAAATCGCAGGGGCTTAGATCAGGGGAGCGAGGCGGCCATTCAATATCGCCCCGTAACGAAATCAGATGTCCCGGAAACATTTCAAGAAGAAATGCAAGAAATGTTTCCGGCTCGAACCCGCTCGATTTTGCTCGAGCAAAATGTTATTGCTGATTGGGACAGGAACTGTTTGCCTTTTTCAGGAAAGCGCGATGGAGCCATCTGAACCCTTCAGCGTTGGACACGGAGCAATCTGGCCAAGGGTTTTTCAAGAGCAGCCCGACTTTCGATCCTTCTCGGAGTCACCTGGACCCCTAGTGTTTCGACCCCATAGGTGCTGAAAACGACATCTCTCAGCTACACTCCTATACAGGCTCTCACAGCCAGAGTTTTTGGAAGAGTTTCATCTTCACGCTAGAAAGACGAATCTCTATCGTCCATTTTTTATGCTGAAGCACCTACGGTGCTTTCGCGATGAGTTCACACACTGTCATGTGGTCACTGATGCTACTGGTATTTCTAATTCAGGGGCATCTATCTTGAACTTGTCCACCTCAGACCGGCGGAAAGTTCGTTCATATGGTGTTGGTAGGCCCGGGGTAAATTATGGTTACTCATCCATACACCCTTTTTCGAACCTTCCACTCCCTTTTAATTCCTTAGGAGCCCTTAGAGAGATCACTGAGATGCCTCAAGGACACGCGGATTCCTTCTTCCTTTTAAATATTTTTGTTTCAATTTTTTTTGTCTTGTGACGTCTAAGCACATGAACTTATCCGGTGTATTATTGGGGAAAGAACTTCCATAAAAACATATATATATATGAAATATTCAATGATTTTACAGAGTTTACAGGTTTTAGATATCAGAATGTTTTCAGTTATGAAACATGAAAAATTTCCATCTCATTTTGCCTGTTGGTTTGTCTTAGGGTCCTGTGTTCAGGAAACTCGAGCTCGCCATCTCAGCCTGACTTCCTTCATGCCGTTCCTCCTCACGCCTAGTACTTACCAAAGATATACGTACTACTAGACCTACAGGAGGGTAAGCACTTTCCCTAGACCGAAGTGTGCCTTCTCCCAAACGACGTCGAGGGACAAGGAGGGGGCTTTAGGAGTCTTCAGGAACGTTTCAGTGTAAGCACCTTCAAGTTGCGTTCATTTGCGAAGTTCAATACTGAACCTTAGTCAAAGTTTGTGGTAGGAAAATTCCCAAAGGAGTGCGATGACTGAATTTGTCCCTCTCATGTACGAAGGGAGAGAGAAGACTTTTAGACCTACCTTTTTCTATTGACGTTCGCCCTTTTAGTGTTTGATAGCGAGTTAGAAAAATGCTTAAAGTCAGCTCTACTTGGGTCCCGGAAATAAGTCTTTTAGCGGCTACCACAATGTACACCCATCGCTAATTTATCCTGCATGGCATTATGCAAGAGAAAGTTTCTAGGAATAAGATATTTGTGAATACATTACACATTAATTTTTTACGAATTTACGAATCGGGATGAGAACAAAACGGGGAATTGTAGGTCAGCCACTCTCAATACTTTTCCGACGAATATCATGGACAGCATGGCAGGCGATCATGTTCCAGAATGTATTGAGGGAAACTCATTCGTTGAGAATGGCAAGAAGACACGAGTCTTTAAAATATTAATCCAACATGAAAGGTAATTTCGTCCTTGTCCCCAAACATATGAAGTAGAATACATCCTCTAAAGCTCTTCTCAAAATTCGAACTTCAGAAATTAAAGATATGTTATGCATTCATGTTATCTCGTATCTTATGTCAATAGGAATAAATCAGTACGTATCCTCTACTAGGTATTAATACCAACTTTAAAAAAAATTTAACATGGTTATCACATTTTATTCGAATTTTAAGGCCATGTACACTGCTTTGCCTGCAGTGGACTAATTTGAGTAGAGAAAAACAATGCAGCAAATGGAACAGTCTGTTCCATAGCTTTGAAATGAGAATAGTAAGCATAGATTTAGAAAAAAAAAGTTAATTCAGGTATCGATACCTCTGATTCCTCCTGATTATCAGGAGGAATCTACGCAGATCCACCACACGTTGTTTTAATTCATTTGCTCAAGATTGAATTAATAAAATTCATAAAGGGATTCATTCTTCTTGACAAGAATGAGCATTTGACAAGACTGAATGACCTTTATCTGTTCAGCTCGATCTCCCAAATTCGAATGAGGAACAAGAAGCATTGAAGGACATCTGTTCGCTTCGATCACAATTGGATNGTTCTCCTTTCTTTATCCATGCAGTTTTCATTCATTTACCTATGCATTGGTATTAGTGGTATCCAAATGGGTGTTATCGCCTCTTTATACCACTAACTACCATGAACCTTGAACATTAAATCGCATGAAATGAAACTTAGTTTCATTGCTTCTAACACCCCCACTAGTAATATGATATTACCTGCGACAGCATTCTGCAAGGATGCTTCAACAGCTCGAAGAAACGCAGAAATTACTCACTCCGTCTAAGAACCAAGAAATTCACTAGCCAAATACGAACAATGCTATCGGAAAACTACCTGACCTTGAGAAGAGCTCATGGCGATCCCACTCATTGTTATTTTCGTTGAAGATTCATTCATTTCATTGAATTCATTCAATTCGTTCCATGACACATATTCCTTTACGATACAATTCGAGTATGAACGAGACTCACTCTTAGTGAGTCTCGTTATTAACCTTGTGCAATTACTTCACCTTCAGGACCTCCGAGGCCTGGAAACAGAACTAAAAAAAGCGACAGGAGAGATTTATGCGCTGAGGACTTTACTCGCTCAAGCCGAGGTCGGCCGTATGCAAGCTGAGGAACAACTCCAGGAAGCGACCAGTAGGAGAGGCTACGAGGTAATATGAGTTCGTCTTGCCTTCTCAAAAAGGTGTTCCGTGAGGTATTTCAGACGTCCGAATTTGGTGTGATAAGCATTACCGTGGCTTTCGCACTTTCCTCCTTTCCATTTAATGTTGACAGCGACACTTGGGGTATTATGGGCGATGCAATTTTCACTGTTTATTCACATTGCAGATGCCAGCAAACTTTGATAAACACTTCGATAGGTTTGGACTTATAAAGCACGCTAAGCCTGTCTCACATTGTATCTTGAGAATTGAGTTGAGTTGCGAAGCCTCGATTGGCTTCCTTAACCGATCAGGAACCTGCAACCAATCTGAAGTGAATTGTTTAAGGTGGTTGTACTAATACTTATTCTTATTGGCTTCAGGGTCTGGCTGCAGGCGGTGAAACAGGAAGATATGCTCCTTCTCCTCTGATTTTCCTCCGTCACCCACCGACGACCCTACAGATAGGCTTTGATGAGGAACCGGTCCAATATCCTCAACACATGGGTTGCTTTCAGCCGGTCATTGATACTCAATACAATGGCTGGTTTATTCCTACACCTCATCAAACCTCGTCCTATGACATGAATGTCCCTTGTGTCCAGGACCCTTACTAAGAGGGCCCGCCGTCAGTGTATATATTTTTTATGGCATTCAAATTTTTGCATGCATGTAAAACATGCACATATTTATGTATTGTATGCCTTCCATGCCCTTGTATATATAAAATATTTTTATAGTCTCCTGAAACAAATTGTTCATCCTTTTTATTTTCATTGAAGTTTATGAGGTTTATTGACCTGTAAAGCTGCGAGAAAGTTCTCAGGTTTGAGTCAGCTTGACTGGTACTCTGCCTTGAAGTCCGAATGCGATCTTGCTCAATAATAATGAAAGACAAGAGGTTTTGAATTTGACAGTCTTGTCCAAAACCAGCTAGGTTTTTCGCTGTGGAAGCACACGGGCATGGGCGAAGGAGCATCCATTAAATTTACTTTTAGCTGGAGCCCCTAATGCGCAGGAACCTACAAAATTTTTATTTTCAATCGTGAATATTGCGCAAATAAAAGTCAGTCGAAAAAAGGGTTTCGCAGCACATGAAATGGGAAAAAAACCCCACCCAATTTGATGTACGAGGGTATAACTGGAATATAAAGGAAAGGTAAGAATTTAGGAGAGATTTGGACAATGCTTTTTGTACTGGATCCTTTCAAGTAATCAAATTTTGAAATGCAAAAAAAGATTGAGGGAAGGGAAAAGTGCATTTATGAACCTAGAGGTTCTTGTGCCTCGTAGTATTGTTTCCTATCATCTTGTACTTCGTAGCTTCCATCCTCTCCAGGCCCAACAACGTTTATGCGAGTCCATAACTAGTCCAGCGTTTTGAAAGACGGGTCAGTGAATTTGATTGGAAATCAGAAACCAGCTGCCCAATACAGCGAAAGTATTGGTTAAAGTTGAAGGCTTTGGAATCACCTCGAAATTCCACGAGTGGACATTTTAAAGTTGGAAACAACACAGTCTTTTAGAAAGCTCCTTGAACCTCATCGGTTTATTGACGTCCATGCGAAGTGCGGCACATCCTTGGCATTATCAACATAAACTTTCACATCGGAATTTTTTCGTGTTGAGGTTCCCAGGTGCTCTCACCCTCACTGTCTGCACCGATCACTTTCCTCCCACGATTCCTCTCTCCAGGTTCACATGCCTCCTCTGGACTGAATTCTTGTAATGGGCAATAATATACCATTAACCTCATATTTGCAGCAGAAGTAGGTCCTTCCTGGGCTAGAAGCAATTACTTGAAGCTCAATACTAACTGAACTAGTATCAAATTTTTTTGTCAAGAATAGTTTTCGAATACTTTTTAATGTCTACCTTAGCAAATAAATAAGGCTTATCGGATTCAATGCTAGGATCTCCGCGTTTCGAAACTAACTACTCGAGATTAGTAGCTACAACAATGCCCCACTCGCACGATCAATACTTGCACAATCTGTTTGGTAAGTTCTTCCCTATAAAAGAGAGAAATCGAGGGATTAATATTTGGTTTGGCGAAGAAAGATTGAGAGAAGGAAGGCTGCTTTTATTTGTCGGATCTGCGAGCTTTTTCAATGGCGAGACGACTTCGTTCTTGGATTGTAGTGGCTCGTCCATGCACCATGTCTGTCCGTAACGTGATCCCAAAGATGTCCTCGTGGTAGCGACTGTCCTCCTGCAAAACGAAATGCTACCCTTGAGGAATCTCACTACGGTCAGAACGACTGTTAAAGGCTATCGCAATAGCCAGTTTCTGAATGCCTGGTATATCGCTTCTATTCGCGATAGCAATAAAACGGACACGGTGAGTTGATTTATTTGACCCGCTACTTGTATAAGATAAAGTTCATCTTTGTTCATTTTGCTTGCTTTCAAAATTCTGTCACTACTTCAGGCCTGAAATGAGGGATTCTTTTGATCGTCCACCCTCCTTCGCTAAAAAAGAGGATGAAGAACGACGGTAGCAAAATCCTATGTCAGCCTAACGGATATCTCTACTTCAAATCACTCTTCGTATAAATGGAATTTGGGGACCCTCAACGCTTGCCACCGGCCAGAAGAGACTCTATACCTCATCGGAAAGAGGCAAAAGAAGTTAAATCTAAATTTCCTACTCACACGTTCTTTCTTCATCTAAAGGGAGACTGAATCCATTTGTTCGAATTAAAAATTTAAGCTTCCTTATTTGCATTGATTCCTCCACTGTGAAAATGATACTTGAAATCCTCCAGAGGGAGATAAAGGTGGAAAAGAAACCTACCCGAAGGGAGCTGAGGAAGGCGTCGGCCTCAGACAAGGGTAGGTCGGCCTGGGTCTGGATGATGTCTCTCACCGTCCGATACACGTCCTCTGCCATCGTACAATCCCCACACACGTACATATGACCCTGGCGATCCACCAAATCTGCATACAACTCCTTCGAGTTCCCCTTCAGCAGATCTTGCACGTACGTCTGACACAATTTTTAATCAATTAAGTACAATTTTTATTCAAATTTAAAAAATCCTCAAATTTGAAAACTGCCTGAGATTCGAAAACACTCCTGTTTTTTTTTCACGCCCCAAATTGTTATATTTATCCATGCTCACGAAATGAGGGGCAATATTGACGGAATATCACAAGCAAGAGCAGGAAAATGAATAACTCCTACCCTCATAGACCTTCACCTGGTCGCATCCTACACTGTGGTTGCCATGGAGAGATTTACCTTAGGTAAGCCTGGTTCTCGGGAGACAGCGACATGGACGGCTTTGAGAACTCCTGCAGCGTGCATTTCACGGGTTTCAAAGTGATACAGCTCCCACGTCTTATATCTGCAGCCGGAATACAGAACCATTCCTCCGCTAGTCCTTCTCTTCGAATCATCCGCTATACATTCCAAGGAATGGAAGACAAGGCCATAAGTTCACGAGACCAGGTTGTTGGTGCGAACTGCTAGTTTATAAATTTGGGACCTGAGCGATGAGGATCTTTGAGATATTGAACGTATCTGTGCTGCCAGAAACTCCGAAAAGGAGCAATTCCGGTCCCCGGTCCCACCATAATGATCGGTATGGATGCGTCCTCTGGCATGTGGAATCCTGCAGCTCTAGTCAGCACATGAACAAATAAATTAAGTAAATAATAAATGAAAAATAAAAATATAAAAATAAAAAAAGTAATCGTTATTTTAACTTTATTTGTATGCATAAACTTTTTTTGTCTCAAATCGTTATATTTCCTTTTGCGCCCTCAAAGTTTACTTTTATATTCTTTTATATTTTATGGACTCAGAAAACGGTGTGTTGAACTGACTTTCGCACGAAGCAAGCGATTGGAGTTGCAGACGAGGAGTCGCTGAGGTATCCCGAACAGACTCCTCGATGCAGCTTCCCGTTTCCCCCTACACGAAATCAAACAGGTTGTCAAATTGCTTAAAACATTCCATTTATACCTTTTGCAACTTGCTTTTAGATGGTTTGCAATTCATTTTCGGCATTTGGCAAGTGAAGAATATCGTTGGAAATATGTGTGAAAAGTGGTAGCAGTTTCGGCAAATCAGAATCGATTTTCATCCATGAGAACTGGATCTTATTCGGAGACACACTGTTCCGGCAATGAAAAGCCATTTTCGGCGTTTCTTATGGAAGCAAACTGTAAAATGAAAAACGGCGGCTAGAATCTCGAGATCGTCCGCATTGCTTGAAGTTCGTCAACGAGCAAGTTTCCTGAAAAATCCTGATGATGGTAGGCACTAATTATGTCGAAGCCATTGGGAATGAAAGTAGCAATCAATACGAAGAGCATTCAGTGCTTTAGTGTGGATCTTAGGTGCAGTTTTGAGACTTCCCGCGTGGATAATCATGTTATTCATTCGAGGGGAATGGGAAGGACTATTTCATTATTCAAGAAATGAAAACCTTTAAGACTCCAAGAAACGCTATAAATTCAGCCTACAATCGAGTTTACGGTGAAAAAATGCCGTGAGTATGGCAATTGGGATCCGCTGGCAAGATTCGTATTTCACTTTCGGCATTCCGTAGTTGAAGAATGTCTACAGAAATATCGGTGAAAAGTGACCGCATATCCGGCAAAAAGATATCCGTTTTCGTCCATGAGGAATAGGTTGCATTAGGAGACGCGGTTTCGGCAATGAAATATCATTTTCGGCGTCCCGAAGGGAACATTCTTCCATTACTCTCCTATGTGAAACTGAATGTGGAATACGGCGAATGGAATCTCAAGATTCTTAGCGGAATCTGGAATGCATTGTCACGTGACCCTTTCCGGCTAAAATTCGCTATCGACGAGCAAAAATGAAATTAAAATGATTCCGAGTCATTCATGGACTGCTCCTCGGTAGAATGGGAATTCGGTTAGACGGGCTGCGGGATAGGCAAAAATTCCACCCACATTTCAGGGAATAGCGAAAAAACTTCTCCCTAACTTGGAAAGATGTCACTCCGACTTCAAACCCGTCATTACCCATTCCTAGTGCGAGAGCAACTCCTAACGCATGTTTGCGAGTCGAAATAGGTTAACGATTTCACAGGTGCTTCACTTTTGTAGCTCGATCCGGCTGAAAAGTGGGCCCGAATGCCGAATATCGTCATTTGTGCCGAAATCCAATTTCCTCGATTAATTTCAATCGCCGACCGTCCGTTTTGTGTTTCCCAAATGACGAAATGTAGGGAGAAATGCTGAAATTCGTATATAAGGTGACGGGAATATTTGCCCTAGGGCAAAGCCTGCCGAGCTTCGTTCTCTGTGTGCCGAAAATTCATACTGAATGCCGATATCCAAATTCGCAGCGTTATTCCTCTTCCATTGAGAAACAAAGGGAGAAATGTGCCAAAAAGCATTACAATCCTCATAAAGGGGATTACTGAAGGTTTAATGACGCAGAGTGCAAGATTTCTGAAGATGTGCGGCGAGTTCATGTCATTTCGCCAGTCTCATTATTGTGGGAATGATCCGACTGAAAAGTTCCCATCGGTGGCTTCCCCGATAGAATGTTGGTAAATTCGATTTCCAGCTATAATTTTTTTGCCGCCACTCTTCAACTTCTTCTCTTCCACAAACGAATTACGAGGAGGAATACCGAAATGCAGATAAGGGATGACGAAAATGATGGTTCCTTTCGGAAAGTTGGCCGAACTGCGCGCCGAAAATTCGGCTAGAACGTGGATTTTACCATGCATTGCGCCTATATTCACCTTCCATTCTGAAAAACAAGGGGAATGGCGCCGCAAATGAATTACGAACCATCTAAATGCAAGTTGCAAAAGGTATACATAGGTGCTAAATAGCTCGGTCGGTGAGTAACTGAATGCAACTGCTTGATATTAAATTGGTAATCTTGACAATCGACGCTTTAGGAGACTTGGAAAGAATGGATAGTAAAGAGAGACCTTTGGTGACATAATTGACGAGAGCAACGGTGATGTGAATCTCATTGGGGTGCATGAGGGGTGAGGAGCTAATGGAATAAAAGCGGGGTTTCAGGCGCGGCAATTCCATAAGCAGCCTCCCTGCCTCTGGGGACACCGATTCGAATTCTTCCAACACTTCCCATAGGTTTGGGTAATTTTCGTGACGCCATTCTTCATATTCATCGGCATCCTACACACAGACCCAAACACAATGTACGTCATTCAGAACGGAAAGTTCCTCTGCTTATCTTTGAGAAGCGTAATAATTTACGTATATTAAACGTAAGCCTGATTTAGAGAGCCGTATTTGTCTGAAAAAGAAATTAGAAAAGCAATCGCCCGAATGCCTGCGTGCATCAAAGCCTCGGCAGCGTTTCCGGGAATATCCCATTTCAATGCAATTCTCAGACCTTCATGCAATGATGCTCACCCGCACACCACAAAGGATTTACAATATCATGGAATGATGCACATAGCGGAATGGTGTGGGAGGGGAACAGACCAGCTGTTGAGCTGAGGAAGGGTAAAAATACGTAAATGCAGCCTTTCTTTAGACAGTTTCGTTTCCCTTCCTATCTGGCGTTTATTTCGAATTGCCAGTTTCAATTGAATTCCATCCAATGCACGATGGCTCGAGAGTGACAGAGACATAAATGGAACATACTTGAGAATGCAAGACTGAAAAGAAATGTCAACTTGGCTACGAGACAGAGAATCGACTTTTGTAGGTTAGGAACTTCAACTCTGAAGACTTCCTTCTTTGGATAGAAGACGCTGATGGAGAGATTAAAATGGAGAGAAGAGCGCGTTACTAGTGATCAGTACCTTCCTCAACGTTCCCATAGCTTTTTAACAACGGGGATGGGAAGGAATGATACAGTTCAAATTAAAGCAGATAGACTTCCTGCTTCCTGAGCCGATTCCTCTCGTTACGGAGAAACGCGAGAAGAGGTCGACGTATTTCATCAGAGCCAATATCGGTCCTGGAGACCGTTAGCTACAAAATACGAAATGGCGAAAAGTGATCTTTGCGTTCGTCCTCAGTTGAGCGCTTGCATGGTGGAGACATCTAAAACCCAAGGAGAGAAAGCTGATTGCCCCGTTGTGGAGGATGGTTTTGATATTTGGGTAGAAGATAGGGAAATAAAATTAGTTGGAAAGAAGATGGAGATTGAAATTCAAGGAAGAGGGTGAAAATCTTGACCTTGAGACATGTCCCAACATAGGAATTCTTCCAAACTGTAAGGATCTGCTTTTACTTCGCGGTCTGTCTGGGTTCCTCTTTTTTCACTCTGTGAACCGCAGATAGATACCTCTGTCCCTAAATTGGTCTCTCTTTTAGCATGGGTTCCATCTGGATTCGAGAGGGATGAAATGGAGGCACACAGCTGTGTAAGTTTGCCATCACGTTCTCACGTTATTTCCCCTCCCTCATGAGCCCCTGCGAAGTGGCTTCAGTCTTGATGATTCGCACAATTACAGGTAAGCCTGGGAATCACTTTGAAAAGGTATGCTATTGGTTTGGGAATTTTGTAACAACTCAGCATAGAAGTATACTTGACACTTATTGGTATGGGAAATTTCCATTGAGTAACATTAATTTTTAAAATAAATGTGCAGAAAGGAGTAGGTCGTCTCCTTCGCGGAAACAGCAGACCACCCACTGGCACACTGCCCCCAGGCATCCTCTTCAATTCTCCCCTCCCTCTTATACTATCATACTCCGTGATCGTGTCAGGAGACAATTGAGGGAGGTAGTACTCGTCGGAGTACTCCCAGCCGAGAGAGGTTCGACAGCAAGGACCCAGGTAGGGGAGCAAAACAATCATGAACAAATATAGACGCTTACTAGAGGCCTCTTCTAAAAACCTAAAAGTCATGCTGCATGTCAGCGTTTAGTGTTGGTTCAATGTGGGCTTTCAACGTGGGGTTTGATGTTGGCTCAACGTAAGGCAGCGGGACAAGCTTACAGGAGCCCAACTTTGGGCACACATGGCACATATGGGAATCCAACGTAGTCCCTAGGTTCACCCAATATGGGTATACTGCCTGGGATGATCAGTTAGGAAGTTCAGAGAGCTGATAATTTTGTCATATGCCTGTGCAAGACTTTTTGAAAATTTTTATTTTAAAAGAGTGGCATGAGATACCTGATCGGAAAACAACAAGATAAACGACACAAAGAAGAGGAGTCAGGATTCACTGTTCATTACAGTACGGAATGTAACCATTCCTTCTCATTTTTGAGCTACTCTGAGAAGTTGGAGGCCTAAGCTTCTTCCGCGATTTCAATAGGAATATAAAGTGACGGAAATTTTGACTGGAATGCAGAATACCGTGGCAAGATGGAGAAGACGTTGGCGTTCCTGAGGATGGGAGGCGGAGGAGGAGAGAAACTGAAGAAGAGCGGGCGAGGGAGGCGTGTGGATATCCAGAAATCTCGACAATAGCTCCTCCATGCTTCCTGTCGGTATGTTCTCCACGTCTTCCCACACATTCGACAATCCTGCTCGAGAACCGTATGTTCAGTGACGTGCTCGTGAAGAAGTGAGGTCTTGGAGCCGTATTTCCAATACCAGGAGAGGTGTAGGCCTACACCTCACCATTGAGGGAGAATTTCTCGACGAGGCGTTGGAGTCGAATGGAGGTATTTGGGGGAGGGAGACCCTTGAGACGCGATATGATCTTGGTCACGAGAGCACCCTCGTTCACGGGAAATATCCCCAGGTGATCTCCGGGAGAGTATCTTCTCAACTCTTCCCTTCCCCCTGTATCTAGTCGAAGCAGCATCGTCTCTTGCCTGAAGACGAGAGAGGAGAAAGTTGTATATCTCTAACCCCCCAATATATGAGAGAAAAAATCTTGTTTAGTCAATATCAAATTATTATTAGGATCAGACTCATTATGCTCCTGGAATCCTAAACAGAACCGAATCCTTTCTGATGGTGAATGGCGATTCTTTCGATACATTATAATACTAGTACTTGCGAAGGTGAGATGTCATGTTGTAATTACGATGTTATCATGTCACGACGATGCATGCATCTGCATGTCTCTACGAGACTCACTGTCCTCGGTTGCCTATTATTATTGAATGTAAAAAGAAATTGTCAAATGCGTTCAGATTTCGCAATCACCCAGTTTACAAATATCGATCAACCTCTGCTTTTCCTTCAAATCTTTGTTGCAATCGCTGCTGCGCACTTAATATGCCTAATATATCCGTACATTTGAAAATATGTACATACAAAAGTGAGACAATACCAAGTAAAGAGTTAAATGAGCCCTCGCCCTCGACTCGGCTAGTCGATATGGCTATAAATGCTCTTTCACGTCCCAACCCAAACCTTGAACTTTGAACTTAGATTATTTGAAATGGTTATGGGCTTATAAGTAGGAAAAGGAAACGGAATCGAAAAAGCTCATACAATAGCTTCGTCAACTGTTTCTTGGAAATACTATTATGAGAACGTTCCAGGACTCACTCATTGGTGGGTAGTAGATTTTCCCTTGAAAGCAGCTGACAAGGAAAGACCTTCCTGCCTCCAGAGGACACCGTAAGGCCTTCGGAAAGAAAATCCTCCCCATAAAGCACTTGTCTTTGCATTCAGATGCATAAAATTGATCGGATGGGGACTTAGGGACCAATGGAAAGTTTCTTACTTTGATCCTACTCTCTTGCAACTCCGAACCAGCAATAATAGAATGCAATACCATCAGGATACCTTCCGTGATGATGAGATGGATTGAGATGAATGAAGGCAAATTTCAATTCGCAGACGCGTAAGTTCCCAGAGAAAATTCAGAAGACTTCATCTGACTTTAATGCAAAATTATTTGGCTTCTCCATTCCGATTCTTCATAATTACATTAAGTTAAAGGCCTGTTGGGAAGTTACGTATGGAGTCTTCCCATATGTATTGATATTTGAATCATGAGAAATTGAATATACTGTACATCAAAGTCAAAATCGGAGAACGTAAAAGGGAAGCGACAGAGTAACAAGAGAGTCGATCAGTGCCAGAGCCACATCTACGTTCGAGGTCATGGTATGCAGCAAATAGTTGCAAATACATATAGTTGTATATTTCTTACACTTCCAGAGATCGCCGTTCTTCTCGCGAAGCTCAAGGCGGACTTTTTGCGCTTTCCTGCTGATGGAGGCCTGAATCCCCTTGGCCACGGCGTCACCCTCCAAGCAAAAGGTTTCGCATGATACCTACATGAAGAACACATAAAAAAGCATCTTCGGTGAACGAAATCAAGGATCTGTTTCGAATTTCCTTAGTATCTTTAGAGGTAGGAAGAACAATTTAAAAAATGAACAAAAGGTAAACCCTATAATATTTGAAAAGGAAGGGCTCCTGGAAAATACAGGGTGCCCGTCAAGTGAGTATCTACGGTCCAATTTTTGTTATTGAATCTGAGGTAACTATTCCTTTAGCGATTGTAGACTGACTACCTGCAGACCTTGGAATAAAGTCACGCCTTTCCTCATTCCAGTTTAGCGCGGCTTAGAAATAATTTCTCTGACCCTTTCATGGGTTTAAGCAAATTGACATGGCGTTACAACACGTCCTCCGCTGGTAGCCACTCACGAATAAAAAATTCAACAGGCACATCCCTCGACTTTCCAGTCATGGAACCGATGGATCTTCTAAAGTTTAGCGGTAATTTTTTATTCACATTTTCTTCCAAAAAAGGAAGACCCAATACTACATCTACAAGACGTGCATATGGCTGTAACTCTGAAGAAGTACAGAGACTCCTTAGTTCTCAGGGTCTTCTAGCAAGGGCCAGGAAAATTAATTCTCAGTCGCAAAAAAGTGGAAGGAGGAAAGACATAATTTTTTAACGATGTCATTCCAACGTCTATTTATAGTCATTGAATGTACGGAATTGAATGTAATGTATTAATATGTCATTAAATAGCAGCTGCAAATTCAACCACAACAAGTTGTCCATGGATAGTAACTTTATGGGCACCCTGTACCATTCTTCATTGATGATGTAGATTTTCGCAAGTTGAGGATGTCTTTGAGTAGATGATACCCCATGGTCTTTTCCAGCTTACGTAAGAATGTCGATAAGCAGATGAAGGTCTGGAAAGATGACACAAACGAGCTCCTTCCATCTTTCCCCCCCTTACTTTCCCCGAAGCATCTATGATCGACGAGGATACCTGAAAGACGTTGGGAGCCCAGGCAGTGAAAGAGAGTTCTTGGCCGCACATTTCGTCTCCATACGCCAAGGGGAGGATTCTCTCGCCCCCCAGTTCCCCCAGCAAGTTGTCCACGTAAGCCCCGAACGACGCAAAGTTCGGGTACGACGACGATCCCAATGCAAATACAGCAAACCTGTAGTACATTAAGCAGCTATCTCATCCTCATCGTGCGATTTACCAAGCGAGGAGATTCCATTCCATTTACACGTGTGGATACGAGAGGCACCCGTGGGGATTCGAAATAAGCACTTGTGCGGGAGACACACGATGGAAAAGTTTCGCAGTAGACACGGTTTTACCGACTATATATAACAAGGCCATCAGTCTACGGAGGTGGAAAGGATTGAGTCATTGGGAAAGATGATGAGAAACACAGACCTGACGTTACTCAGGGGTCCCATGGAATCCTTTGAGATGACACTCTCGTTTTCATTCAGGGTCTCTTCCGAGGTCCCTGTGAAACTGGCGAATCTCACCAGGCTTCGAGAATTCAGTCGACTGCGTGCGAAAATCAACACCAAAAGCGACACTTGAAAGTTTTGAACCGGCTACCAGAATAACGTTGGAATGTTGGACATGAGGACGTGTAAATTGTGAGAGCTGAGCGAGTTGGCCAGACTTGGAATTAAACGGTGCTGGGTGGGATTGGTTCAGGTACGCTTCCTACTTTCAGTATCCTCACGTTCCGTGTCAAAAAGAATTTTGCTAATGCAGATGTTTCTTACAAAAACAAGCTGGGTAAATTCCCTGCTAACAATTTCCTGCACTGTTACTGGGATCGATCACCCACCCAACTCAGCTTGTGTGATCTCGTTATTTATCGCATTTTATTGTGGCTTATTTCTCATAAGCAAGAAAGAAGCTCTGCATTGTGTCTGTAAAGTACTACAGAATATCAAGAACTCCGATGCATTCCATGTTCTAAAAATTGTGGCTATCTGAGGGCGGTAGGTGCGCAGAAATGCCCAGACTCAGCACAAGAAATGAGACAATTCCCTCAAGTCAGACAGATAACGACGGCAAAGAGATTAATTAGCGTCGATTAATGCAGTCTTCTTGGAAAGCCTTCACAATTGCTAGTTCAGACATTGAATATAAAGAGTCCCAACGATAGAACGTTGAAGAAATTGTCCTGCCGGCTGCTTCTAATGATGGGACTTTCTTGATTAAATGCATGGGCGGCAGACCTTGCCCTCTGCTTTTCCGTTTAGAGCAGTGGTGCCAAACTCAAATCGGTCGGCGGGCCGCATTCCTTACCTTGCAGATGCCTGCGGGCCGCATTCATAATTTTTCACCGAAATTTTTGCTAACAGTCAATCCAAGCGGAAATTTCCAGAACAGACGGCGGGCCGGATGAACCACCTCCGCGGGCCGGATCCGGCCCTCGGACCGTATGTTTGACACCCCTATTTTGAGAAGAGAAAAACGTCTTCACACTTGGCAGGGTATGGAAATGGAGGCTGCTGGTGGGACCAGACAGAGTAAAATGGAAGCGAGAAGGAGAGACAACTCAGCAGTTTTACGGGAACCCGATCATCCCCAATAAACCTGCTTTCAAAACCCATAGTGACAGAAACCACTAGTATTCTCATGAAGCCAGTGGATACGAACTTACTACTCCTTGCTTTCCGATCATGAGTCATCAGCATTGGTGTAATTTATTTATAAGAAGAAACAGTCCCAAGAACCATTCCGGAAGCCAGCCAAAAGAGGAACGAAATCGGTCCCATGTGAATGTGTATGTAAATGTCGGTAGGATACTGGGCGTTTCGTCATTGTCAAATGGCTCATCTCACACGAGCCTAATTCCAAGTCTCTTCAAATTGCATTCACCCACATAAGAGGTGCTGCTTTCATGCTTCATAGAGAAGTTGTACTGTAATACTGTCTCCACAAGAGTCTTTGACGCACACTTCTTGTCTGGATTTGACTGCAATTCTGGAGTAATCTTTTTTAAGGTTTTGAAATATCATCCTTAAAGAACGCTGAGGCTCGAGGCTCGCTGACGCTCGGCGGTATTATCTGGAGACATGTTGCAAAACGAGCTGCTTCGTCTTTATTGAGCTACGGTGGAATTGTGCGGGGTTGGCCTTTCTGCTCTAAATTCTTCATGGTAATGAATAATGAGAAGGGTCTTGCCTGATGCTTTCGGGGCAGCCAGGAGCCTGGCCCATCTTCATCGCGTACAGACACTTAGCAAAGTCCTAAGAGAGACGAAGAAAAAGCATGAGATCCACGATGGAGAGATGAAAGAATAAGGGAATGAGGACGACGAGACCTCTCCGTTTTCGGGAGGATCCCCGTTGCCGGCCGTGCTGGTGACCACGAGGACGAGGGTCTCGTGTTCCAGGTTCACGATGTCGTACTCCGACATGCAATGTACCTGTCGTGGATGAAAAAAAAATGGAGGTTCCATCTGATATCATTTCCGGTATGCATTCTTCTGAATATTTTACTATCAATTTCAGCCGAGTCCGTGCAGGTGCATCCTCTCTGCGAAAACAGTAGGGAGTTTTCACTTCATCCGAGACATAGAAATTGCTATATAGAGGGAAAGGGGGTAATACCGAATGCATAAGGAAGATCTGCTTCATAGGCCAGAAATAGTGAACGTTCGATTCCCCCCCCCCCCCCATCTTCCTTTCGCCTGTTCGGATTTTCTCCACAGCGCCGACATTTAAGAAGGCAATCTTCACGGAGAAGCGAGAAAACCAATATGGGGGATCTTGTCACTTTTCAGAACACTTAACTCGCCTTTCCATACGAATTTGGTGGAATCAGTCAGATCCAATTTAATGCCAAGGCGTCTCCCGACAATATGAAATCACACATGCCAGCGGTCCGATTATCGATTACCTATTATGTCGAATTCCTGAAGGTCGAATGAATAAGACGAAAGCCAAAATGTCGAATGCGAGGAACGTCAAAATGAACTTTTCTTTCCTCTGTCGGTGAAGATATGAATTTCACTGTGATATGACTTCCTCAATGTTTATCGCCGTCGCGAATTTTTCTCTCTCGATGTCAGAGTTATTGGTGCATGATTACCATGAAACTTCGGTGGTTCTTTTATCGATTTGTCGTTTCGGGGCACATGGACACTCGTGCATGGCGACTGCGGTTCTGGCACATTCAATCTCCCTGTACCATTCACGAGTAAATAAAAATCCATGCGCGAACGAAAGTCTGCCACCCTTCACAGAATGCATGTATTGCATGTAGGTCACGATTAATGCCCCAACTCGACCGAAGGATTTGTGTGGCAGTGCGTTTGTTACCGACGTCATAAAAACCAGTAACCCTGGCTGACGTGAACAGGTGCTCGGTTGACAAGTCAATTTTTGATAGCCCAAGGGTTAAGAAGAAATTTGCTCTCCTTGATTATACGTGGTATCAGGACCCAAGGAACAGGATAGTCTGGAGCTCATTCAGATGATCACATCCTGATAGTTCCACATTTTCTCACGTTTGACGCGTTCAGTATTGTAACAATCGACATTATGTCCATTAAATTGTGCATTCAATATTGCGTGACATTCGACTTCATACTAATCGACTCAAAACCTAACGACAATCTGGCTTTCGACTTTACGTTTGGAACCTGCCAAAGTAAGCAACATATGTCGAGCCGTTTCTTACTCCAATTCAGATAAAAAATGAAGATATTACTTATGTCGCAAAGCGCTTAAAGTTACAAAAACTTTCACAATGTTTCCACACATGCTTATCAGGCCAATGCACGACGCGAGCGGTTGGTCGTCATGCGCACTCCAAATTGAGTATTTCGCGCCGTTCGGTATTGCCCCACTCCTCCAAAGAAAAGAAAAAATCTAGGCCTTCATGTGAATGTTTGGAATGGACGGCTGGATCTTCGAGCACCAGCCGAGTTCACCTGCATACGACAGTGCCAAGCAGACATCCGTTGACGGAAATGGTTCTACTGCGGGTCACTTCTATGCCGAATGGAGACATTTTTATTGTAGACAAATTTTGTTACATTTGTCAAGTAACTGTAAGTCGTCCCGGAAACGATGGTTAATGAAAATAGAATTTTCAACTGTACAACGTCGCATAGTAATGTTCGATTGCCAATGTTGGAAACGCGAGGACTCCTCTAAGAGTGCATACTTCTTGAAGAGAAGGAACAACTTAATCTCCTTGATATCTACCTCCTCTGGGCTTAATTGATAGAACTAGAATCCTAAGGATCCCATCCCGTAATGGGACTCTGAAGTGACTGTCATTCATCCACGTCCTAGACTGGCCTAAGGGAATAGAAAGAATGTGAGATGAGATGCGCAAGAAAATGAAGAGACGCTTAAAGGAAAGCGCTTTACGGTGAAAAGACGATGAATATGAATAGGCTTATACTGTGAAAGCCAAGTTACCACAGTGAAAATGATCTCTATTAAATTGCACACAGAGGAGTCGTGCTACGGACGGAAGTCGACGGACAAAGCCGACCCTAGGTGCAATTTCACCGAACAGGAAACTCACGTGCGCGTTGAAGGCATGGGAGAAGAGGGAA